GCCAGCTCGGCCTCCAGGCCTTGCGCCCGGCCCTCGGCCGCGCTCAGCCGCAGCCCCAGCTCCGCGGCCTCGGCCCGCACCGCCTCCAGCTTCAGCTCCAGCCCGCGGGCGTGGTCCAGCTGCTGCTTCTCGGCGCCGCGCGCCTCCTCCAGGGAGCCCAGCAGGCTTCGCTCGCGGGCCCGGAACTCGCCCTCTTGCTCCTGCAGCTTCCGATGGGCTCCCTGGAGCTGCGGTGGGCGCGAAGCCGGGAGGTGGGGGTCAGCAAGGCCGCCCCCCAACCCGACGCCCCACCTCCCAGGCCCAGCCTGGAGCCCACCTGCCCAAAAGGGGTGTGTACAACAACTCTTCCTTTAGTGGTCTACACCCAAGCAGGAGAGGAGCATCCCCGGGGGTGTGAGAGGAAACTATTAGAATGTATCTTTTATCTCTTCCTCTGTGTATATGCCTGGTAACGTACCCAGTTTATGAGTAATAAATGAAGGCGAACACTTACATAGATAGACTTATCGGTGCCAGGCACTAAGTTTACCTCCCCCCCCAAAATCAACGGTAATTACCACTATGACTCATCTCCATTTCACCAAGGAGGAGACTGAGGCACAGAGCAGTTATATAACTTGCCCAAGGCCACACAGCCAGTAAGCTGAGAGCTGGGATTCAAAACCGGGCACTCCCGCTCCAGAGGCTGTTCTCTTAACCACTAGGCCACACTGCCTCTCAGTTACACATAATTTATCAATAAATCACACAATGGGGGCACACAGTAAATTATTTTCTGATGGAGTGCGTGATCTCATACACACACACACACACACACACACACACACACCACTCTGGTTTAGAGAATGAGTCGACCTCTCACAGTCATTGGTTTCACTGGAAACCATCTACAGAGCATCACCTGCATGCCAAGACTGTGCCAGGGCCCTGTATATATCCCCTGTTCTGCTAGCCCCCATCCCATGAGTGCTCTGAATCACAGAGAGGGTAAGTGACTTAGCCAAGGTCATGCAGTAGATTCACTGCAGTGAAACAGCCAGAAAAGGCAGACTGGAAAGAGTGCAGGCTTTGGAGTCAGACAGACCTGGGTGTCCGTGTGACCTTGGGCAGATCCCTGGACCTCTCTGAGCCTCAGTGTCTGGTTCTGTCTGTAAAATGGTGCTAACTGTACCTACCTCATGAGGCTGCTGGGAGAACCAAGCGAGATTACGTCTGCAAGGCTCCCCCACCCTGCTACCCAGTACGTGCAGTTGTGGTTATTGTTACTATTATACCTGCGGAAGAATCTCAAGGAGTGCGAGACAGGGACGAGTCCTAGGGAGGCGTCTCTCTGAATGACTCCAACATTGGAGTCCCCACCTGCTTCTCAGTGGAGAAGGCACGGGGCAGCCTGACTGCCTCCTGGGACCCTCCCCCTCCAGGCAGCCCACCCACCCACCTAGTTACCTCCTGCCGCACGGCCTCCAGGCTGGCCTCGCCCTTCAGCAGCTTCTGGCGGAGGCCCAGCGCCTCCCGGCGGCCCTCCTTTTCTGCCCGCTCGCCCAGCGCCAGGCGGCCCTGCAGCTCCACCAGCTCCCGGCCCAGCCTGGCGTTCTCACTGTCCAGCGTCTTCATCTGGGAGAGAGCAGACAGAGGTCGACCTAGGACCACTCTCAGCACCCACAGCCCCTCCTGGCCCAGGGTGTTGGTGAGTGCCTGCAGACTCCAACAGCAGCCTGTCCAGCTCTACCCATACCCTGCCCAGCCCAGGCCTGGCCCAGGGGGCACTCAGGACCCACTGCTTTAGGGACACATACATTGAACACCACCAAATCCACTGGGAGCTGCCCCACATAACTCCACCGAGCTCGAGCCATGCCAGGCACCTGGGCACCAATGACCTCAGTTTACTGACTAATCATAACTACCTACCATGGGGAGTGGGGGGAGAGTGTTGAACCCCTAGGGGCTCTGCAGGGCAGGAACCACAGCTCCCTGGGCCACCTCTCACCTCTACAATGATGCCTAACTTTCTGGAGTGCTTACCATGTGTCCAGCCCTGTTCTAAACACTTTACTCATATTAACTCATTAATCTTCACACATCTCTATCCTGGGTAGGTACTAACATTATCTTATTTAACAGATGAGAAAACTGAAGCTCAGAGAGGTGAAGTGACTTGCCCAAAGTCACACAGCCCATAAGCAGCAGACTGGGATTTGATCTCAGATAAGTGAATTGTCGGAGTGTCCTATTTCCCCACAGGAGCAGGTGGGGGGTCAGGCCGACCTACCCCACAGCCATAGGGAGGGGCACATGAGATCATGCTGTTGCACACAAAGCCCCCAGCAAGAGCCTGGCACACAAATGTGAGTTCCTTTCAGGGACTCCTGTGGTTTCGCAGGACTTCAGCCCAACAGGAAGGGGCCTGGGTGGAGGGGCCGTGGTGGGAGGTGGAGAGGATCCGTTATTCAGGCTGTGATATTTCTGGGTGAGGCTGAGCACAGGCACCAGATGGGGCTGCTTCCTGTTCTGCGAGTCTTCTAGCGGGAAAGCCTGAGCCCAAACGTCCAGGGCAGTGTGCAGTATACAGCAGGCACTCATTAAATGCTTGCTGCTGCTGTTGTTGAGTTTGGAAATCGCCTAGTTCAGGGGTCAGCAAACTACAGGCCAAATTCCGCCAGTCGCCTGCTTCTATAAGGCTTTGAGCTAAGGATGGATTTTACATTTGTAAATAGTTGAAAACGGTTCATTTTTAAGTGGTTGAAAGAAAATCAAAAGAACATTTTTGACACAGGAAAATTACATAAAATTCAAAATACACGAAGTTTGGACTGAACACATGCCCACTGCTGTCCGGACTGTCTAGGACTCTTCCTCACCACGACGGCAGAGCTGAGAAGCCGCAACAGAGACTGCACGGCCCATCAAGCTGGACACATTTACCGTTGGACGCTTTACAAAAAAGGTTTGCCGGGTCCTGACCTAGTTCACGGGATCTGCACCTGTTGTTGTTCAGATTTCTCTAAGAACTGGACAGAAGCTCCAGACCCACTCCTTGGAGAAATGTGAACGAGAATGCGCACAAATGTATCTGCACACACACACATTTCTGCACACGGTTTCGGGGTTCCGGGACTCCTCACAGCTCATCCATTAATATCGAGGTTAAGTAAGAAGCTTGCTATAGTTCAAGCCCCTGGTTTTACAGTGAGGGACCACGGCTCCAGAAAGGGGTGCTGCTGGCCCGGGGGCATACAGCAGGCGCCCAGGGAGGGCGAAGCGCTGGGAGGGTACCTGCCGCCGGAGCTCCTGCAGCTCCCTCCGGGCCTCCAGCCGCGAGCGCTCCACCTCCTGCAGCCCAGCGCGCAGCTCCCCTACCTCCTTCCCCACGGCCGCCCGGGCCTCCTCGAGGAGCGCCAGCTTCTGCTCCTTGTCCTCGTTGGCAAGTTTCAGGCTGGAGGGGGCAGGGGGCAGGGGGCAGAGGTCAGAGGCAGCCCCAGGTCCAGGGAAGAGTATAGTGTGCGACTCTACACAGAAGTCACTTCCCCTAATTCCTGGAATGAGTCCTGCTAAGTGCTGCCTGCCCACGTGGCCCCTCCTGAGCTGAGCCCTCCAGGGCCAGGGGCGAGGTCCTCGGCTGTAGCTGGGAGAGGTGGACCAGTGACTCTGGGTGGGGGGCACACACTAGCCTCCAGGGTGATGCCAGAAGGTGGGGTCAGAGTCTGGACCCTACCCTGCCTATTGCCACCTCTCCCCTTCCTTCAGGCAAAAAGTCACCTAAAATGACCCAAGAGCCAGGCTGTGCTTCGAGGGCAGAGACTCCTCACCTGGCAATTTCCCTAGAACCCTGGGGGCGAAGTTAAGTTCCAGGGACAAGATTCAGTGCGAAGGACGGGGCTGGGCGAAGGACCCGGAGCCGGTGCCCCCACGTCACCCCACCTGACGCGCTCGCTCTCCGCCTTCTTGACGGCGGCCCGCAGCTCCTCATTGGACCGCTGCAGGGCCTCGCGCTCCTTGGCCCCCTCGCTCAGGCTGCGCCGCAGCTCGCCCGCCTCCTGGCGCTGGGCCTCGCGGCCGTCCTGGCTCTCGCGCACCCTGCGCTGGGCCTCCAGCAGCTCCCGCCGCAGCCCGTCGCGGGCGTCCTCCAGCAGGCGCAGCTGCGTCCGAAGCTCTTCTGCCTGCCAGGTCAGTGGTGTCCCCAGGACAGGGTCGGGCCCCCTCAAGCCGGCCCTCGGTGGAAACCAGCCCATACCCATATCCCTGGCTACGGGGCACCTGCCCTATCCCTCTGCAGTGACTCAGACCACAGGTGGGAGTTGTGATTTGGGGCAAAGCAGGCTGGAGTCAGCAGGGATTTGGTCTGACATAACCATCAATCAGGATCGTCCTGTGGACCACACCAAGAGGGCAGGGACCCCACCAGCTCCTCCCTGAGTGCCCCGAGTCCCCCATGTACACAACAGGTACCTAATAAATGCCTGCTGCCTCCTTTCCAACTTGGCCGTCCATTTATCCTCTAATGCGGGGGCGAATCTTATCTGCCTCTGGGCCCCCACTTAGGGTGCGCTGCTGGGAAGGGGGTGGGGCGACTGGCTCACCTCGCGCACACAGGATTCCCGCTGCCTGCCCAGGTCTTGGGCCTGCTCGTGCAGCCTCTTCACCTCCTGGGCATGGGCCGCGGTGGCCTCCTCCAGCCGGGCCCGCAGGTCCCGCAGCTCGGACGTCAGGGCGTGCACGGTGCTCTAGGACACACGGGCTCCTCAGACGGTCCTGCTGCACCCCTCCCCCGCTGCTCCCAAGTGGACCAGCTGAGCTGCCCACTTTCAGCCCCAAACCCGGCCCCTCGGGCTGGCCCGCCAGACCCTCTGCTGACCCCTCGAGGCCTAAGGAGCGCTGACCACGTAGCTGGTCTCCCTCAGACTAGGAGATTCACCGGGGCAGAGCTGTGCCACCTCCCTCAGATGGGGACTCCCAAGGAAGAGCTGAAGCCTCCCCCATAGCCTGGAGGGTTCCCCAGGGCAGAGCCATGCCTCCCCCTCACACAGGGGGCTCCCCCAGGCTCGTGCCTCCCGGCTCAGACGGAGGCCCACCTGGGCAGCCCGCCCTACCCGGTCCTGCTCCTGCCGGCTCTGAGCATCTCGCTTCTGCCGCTCCATCTCCAGGGAGATGGTAGCCAGGCTGTGCCGTGTGCCCATGAGCTTCTCCGACAGCGCCGTCTTCTCGGACTCCTTCAGGGACAGGGCCTGGGCAGAGGCAGGAAGCAAAGGCTTCGGGGGTTGGTTGATCTTGGGGGCCGTGCTCAGGTCTTCCCCACCCCGCCCTGGGAAGTATGTCCATGGGGGCTTGGTGCCGTGACTGGGTCACCACAGGTGGACCCAGGGCAGAGGTGCAGCCTCACCCCCTCTGCAGCCCCAGAAAATGGTACAAGAGCAGTAACAATACCTCTGGACAAGAACACAAGCTTTAGAGCTCACTAACTTGCCACAACAAGCCTGAAGCAGGCCCCTCTTTATTCCCATTTTACAGATGAGGAAACTGAGGCTCAAAGAGGTAAAGTGGCTTGCCCAGGGTGACACAGCTTGTGAGGAGAAGAAATGGATGCAGTCTGTCCTGTCTCCATTACATTATGGGAAAGTCAGGAGTTAGTTCTTTTTGAGGAGGGTCAGCTGATATGTGTGGGCACCACGGAGACTGCTCAGAAGGCAGTCATGGAGTCGCCATGCCCAGCCTGAGGGGGGAGGAGGGATGGGAGAATGTGGCTGGGTCAGCTTTCCTGGAACCAAAGCTCATGGTATCACGCCTGTGGCTGCCACTCAGCCAGTTCCCACCGTGCCAGGTATGGCTCACTGAACATGAGTCTCAGTGATGCTTCACAAACACCCTTCGAATTCCCCCATCCTGCAGGTGAGGAAACTGAGGCCCAGAGAGAGGCTCCCGGCTCCTAGCCACTAGGGGGCTGAGCAGGAACCAGCCCCAGAACAGGGACCCCTCGGACAGCAGTGGAGGCTACACCAGGGCTCACGAACCTGCTGCTTCTCGCTCTCGGCCAGGAGGAGGCCCTCATCCCGCTCCTGCTGCAGGGCCGCGATCTCCTCGCTCAGCTCTTCCTTCTCGGCCTCCAGCCGGGCCAGCAGCTCCTCCCGCTCCTGCTGCAGCTGGCTCTGCAGCTGGGCCCGCTCTACCTCCAGCTCCCGCCATGCCGCCTCCTGGGGGCCAGGCCCGGACACGTGTGACCCACCAGGCTGGGCCCCGGCAGTCCCGCGCCAACCTCAGGGGAGCAAGGGCCACCTGTACCCCAGACCCTGAGAGACAGGGCAGGTGACCAGGTAAACTACAAGGAGGGGTGGGTGGTAAGGGCTGTAACGGGGACATGTCAGGGCTGTGCGAGCCCCAGGGGTCAGCCCGGCCTGGGGGTCAGAGGATGTTTCCTGGAGAAAGAAAAGCAGCAGCCAGCCAGGTAAAGAAGGAAAAGAAAGAGAACTCCAGGCCCAGGGTACAGCCCCAGAGGAGACTCGAAGGAAAGAGAAAACATGATGTACAGGGAAACCACCATCCTTAAGGTCACTGGAGCCTGGACTATGAGGGGGGCATGGTGAGCGATGGGGCCAGAGCCACAGGCAGCAGCCAGGCCAGCCCAGGCCTTGTGGGCTGCCGGGAGGGATGGGCCTGAATCCAGGGACAGGGCAACAGAGGCGCCCTTTCTTCAAGTGTTGCCGCCACCTGCCGGAGAAGTGGGGTACGATCCACCCAAATCCAAGAAGACCGCAGGCTGCACGGCGCCCCCTGGAGCCGCGCAGCCTGAACCTCTGTGGGAGGCAGCCCTGTCCAAGATGGGCGACTCAGGTCCCCCGTCCTGAGGCCCCTCTGGGGAGCATCTCAGTACCAGCATTTATGGAGCATTTACGAAGTGCCAGTCACTATGCTACGCCCTCTATGTGGATTATCTCATCTCTTCCTCACAATATCCTCTACTATCATTATCCCCATTGTTGGATGGGGAGATGAAGGCACAGAGACCTTACTCTAACTGGTATGTGGCCAGGATCAGGTCAAATCCAGGCAATACAACTCCAGAGCCAGTGTTCTTAGACAGCTCTGGTCTGTTTTCTAGCGACCTAGCTGCTCACCTTTCTGTGTGCTTACATCCCAGAGTGATCTTCCACATGCAAACAGCACTTCTCAGCAAATGATTTCCTACTATACATTAGGTCAGCACTTCCCAAATGTGGTTGCGGACCCCCTGCATCAGGATCACCAGGGCTGGACGAGACTTGGGGCCTGGGAATCTGCATATTTGATAAGTTGTCCCCAATAGATCCTCCTAGCTTCCCCCAGGGCCTCTGGGACAGAGATGAAGTTCCATTTCACAGATTTGGAGACTGAGGCAGAGGGAGAAGGATAACTCGCCTGAAGTCACAGAGGAAACAGTGGTTCAAAACCCCATCCACCCCCACCCAGCTGCCAGAACCTTCTTGAACCTTCTCTCGCTGGAGTCGCTGCAAGTCCTCCTCATGGGCTGCCCGCTGCTCCCGCATAGAGGCCTGGGCCTCCCGCTCAGCCTGCACCAGCTTCTGGGCCATCAGCTCCTTGTCCAGAGCCGCCTTCTCCTCTGCAGTTGTCATCTGCTGCCGCAGGCCCGCCAGCTCCCCTGCACGGGGGGGACAGGAGGAAGGGACCGGCTTGGGTCAGAACCTCTGTGTGAGCCAGCAGACTCAGGCCAGGTGAGCCACATGGGCAAAATCCCAGAGGCGAGAGGGCAAACCAGGCATCTGGGCTGGGTTCCCTTGGAGAAGCTTCTTGCCCTCTCTGGGCCTCACTTTCCCCATCTGCTGAAGGGGACTACGGGCCCTGTTCCCCTCCCTACCTACCTGGAATGGCATCAAAGGGATGAAATGACTGATGAGGAGGGCCCTCCAAATGTAAAAATATAACAACCCCCATTACTGATTGAGTGCTAACTGTGGGTCAGGCACCTGGCTGAGCACCTGACTGATCTAATCCCATCGCAGCTTCGTAACACACCTAGGTAGCTCATCTCATCCCCAATTCACAGATGAGGAAATGGAGGCTCAGAGGAGACAGGTAATTTCCCAGAGCTGCACAGCATTCTGTAAGGCATCTCCTTTAATGACTGATGGCCGTAAACATACTTGGTGGACTATTAACTATCAGCACTAATGGAGGCGACCATGGGGAGGGCACACCCCACTGTGGACAATCTACAAACCATCTCCTGGGTTGGAAGCCCACCAGGGACTCAATCAGCATTTCCCTTCCTGGTTCTATCTGGCTCAGGTGGACGTGGATGGGAAAATTAATTTTCACGGCCCACGTAGGTGCTTAGTAAATGTTTCTTTTTTTTTGCTGGGAAAGATTTGCTCTGAGCTAACATCTGTTGCCAATCTTCCTCTCTCTCTTTTTTTTTTCTCTCCCCAAAGCCCCAGTACATAGTTGTATCTTCTAGTTGTAAGTCCTTCTCGTTCTTCTACATGAGTCACTGCCCCAGCATGGCTACTGACAGGTGGTGTGGTTCCGTGCCCGGGAATTGAACCCAGGCCACCAAAGCAGAGCACACTGAACCTTAACCACTAGGCCATCAGGGCTGGCTCAGTAAATATCCGATGAGCAAGAAGAACCCGAGTTCAGAGACCGAGTGGGGAATGCGGAGGGAAGCAGGGCTGGGATGGTGGGCTGAGAGAGTCGTCGGAAAAGCAGCCGATGATCCGCAGAGAAGTCAGAACTCTCTAAGGGCCCTGATGACGATAAACAGCAGCCACCGTCGGCTGAGCCAGGTACTGTGCCAAGGCCTTCACACGCCTCTGTCACCTCATCTTGGCAACAGCCTTAGAAGGCGGGCACTGTCACCTCTAACTGTCAGATGAGGAAGATGCGGCCCAGAGAGGGAAGAGGCTTGCTCGAGAAAGTTCAGATCAAAGTGGCAGCAGCAGGATTGGAACCCAGGTCAGCCAGACTCCAAAGCCAGCGCACCCAACTTCTGTGAGACCCCAGAACTCCACGGGTTACAGCCTGGGCTGGAGCCTGGTGTTCCCTCCCCACAGCCCTGGCCCCCATACCAGTCAGGGTCTCCTTGGCCAGCAGCAGGGCCTGCCCCTCAGCTTCTAGCTGCTCCCGGCGGGCCTCGAGCTGGGCCAGCTGCCGCTGCACCTCAAACAGGCTGCTCTCCAGGGCTTCCTTCTCCAAGCTGCGGCACACACAATCCCTGAGGCCTCAGGACTCGGCCTCTCGGGCCCCAGGAAACTGTGGATCCCAGGGCGTGGCCAGCCATGGGCCGGGTGCCAGCCTACCTGCCCAGCCGGGCCCCCGCTCCCTGGGGAAGCCTGAGCCACAGCTAGGACATGTTGGCAAGCCCGGCTCCTAAGTAACTGCTCCTGTGGGCCAATGCCAGGGCATGGCTGGTCGCGGTGGGGCCCAGGCAGACCCCCCAGGGTGGGCTGGGCAGAGCCATGGCCTTACCGCAGGCGCGTGGCCTCCTCCGAGAGGGTCCGCCCTTCTCGCTCAGCTGCTGCCAGCTGCACGGCCAGGCCGGCCCGCTCCTTGGCCAGTGCCTCCTTCTCCCGGGCCGCCCGCTCCAGCGCCTCCACCTGCCGTTGCGTCTCCCGCCGCGCCTGCTCCAGCTCCTGCTCCCGCCCGCTCAGCTGCCGGGAGAGCTGGCCCCCCGCCCCCCTCACTGTGAGCCCCGGAATCCCCCGCCTGCTCATCATACAGCACCCCAACCCCGAGCCTGACCCAGCCCCGGCCTGGCAGGCAGGAGATCCGGGTTCGAGCCCAGGCTCTGCCCTGACGTGCCGTGGGCAAATCACAGCCTTCTCTGAGCCTGCAATGCACACGTGTGCAAAAATGTGGGTCCTCACTCAGTTTGAGCAGTAACGGAACCCTTTCTCCAGCCTAAAACTTCAAGAGAAGGTGACTATACAAAACAGACCGAAGGAGAGCTGCTCTGCGGGCCTCAGAGTGGGCACTTGGAGCCCTGCTCCCTATGCCCCATGGCCCATCCCCTAGAGGCCCTTCCCAGGAACCCAGGCCCTCCAGGACAGACACCAATGAAGGTCTCTGGATCTCTAAACCCCTAAGGTCCCTTCCAGCTCTGATGTCCCAACAAGTCTAAAATTCTGACTCTAAAATTCTCTGCCCATCATCACATCATCTGTCTTTACTGAGCGGTGAGTCACCCACCAAGTGCGTACACGGGTGCATGCTCCAGAACAACCCTGGTGATCAGAACTGTGAGCCCCATGTCACAGATGGGGCCACTGAGGCATGGGGAGGTTGGGTAGCTTGCCCAAGGCCCCCAGCCAGCAGAGGTGGGGCTGGATTTAAACCCAGAGTCGGGCTCCTGGCCCCGTGACTTTCCCCAGGACAGGATGCAGGCGGCCGGCAGCTGGAAGCCCTTCCTCACCTGCCCTGCATCCCCCACAGACACGCACCTGGGCCAGCTGCTCCTGCAGCCGGCCGCGCTCCTGGCGCAGCGCGGGGAGCTGGTGCTCCAGGCTCTCCCGGGCCTGCTCCGCCACCCGCAGGGAGCCCTCCAGGCCCTGCCGCTCCACCTCCTGCTCCAGCCGCAGCTGCTCCAGCCGCTCCTGCGCCCCCCGCGCCAAGGCGGCCTCCTGCTGCACCTGCCGCTGCCGGCCCAGCAGGGCTGCCTTCTCCTCCTCCAGCTGTGGGCCCAGGTGGAGGTGAATGAGCAGATCGGCCCAGCCCCTCCAGCTGGGGAAGGCGGTCCCACTCGGGACCAAGGGTGCCTCCTCCACCCACCCACCTATCACGGTCAGCCCAGGGGAGGCTCCTGGGGGAAAGAGGTGGTGCCCTTGGGTGTGTGGACAGTGGGGAGGAGTGAGAGGAGAGGAGGGCCCACAAAGCTTTTTTTCTCTCAGACCATGAGAGAGAAGACAGACAGAGTCAGAGACAGAAAGAGAGCAGGGACCAAGACAGACAGGTGCAGGGACAGAGCTGTTCAGCGAGACGTGCAGCGAGGCAGGGTGCGGGGGGCGTGGGCCGAGGCTGGGCCGGGCACGCCTCAGTGGGGTCTCTCTGAATGGGGAGGACAGCTGGGCGAGGCAGGCGGGCCTCCTGGCACACGGTGTACCTGGGCGACGAGGCGGTTCAGACCCAGCTTGTCCTGGGCGAGGCTCTCGTTGAGGGCGCTCAGCTTGGACAAGGAGTCCCGCAGGGAGGCCTCTTCGGCCCTCAGCTTGGTTACTGAGAGCTCCAGCTCCACGCGGCCAGCCTCGGCCTGCAGGGTCGGGACCAGGGTGGCCAGAGACGGTCAGGCGGGGAGAGATGGAGTGGGAAGGGGAGAGACAAGAAAAGACGTGCAGAGACACGGGGAGAGAGGAGGGTGGGGAGGAGGGGAGAAACGAGAAGAGACACGGAGAGACAGGACCCTCAGAGGCGGGTAGGGGGATGAGAAAGACACACGAGACAGAAAACAATCGACGCAGAAAGCCTGCTGCCTGTGAAGCTACTTAAAAGAAGATGCACCCCGCAGAGCTGTGCGAGAACAAACGAACCCCAGCTCACGCCGCAGGGCAGGGCCAGGGGTCAGAGGGTCCCCCAGAGTGGGGTCTAGGGGTGGACTGCTCAGGGCCCCGACTATAGGGAGTGGGGCAGGCGCCTGCCAAGGACTGTGCCCCCAGCTCTCACAGACCCCAGGACCTGTGTCCAGAGATGGGACTGGATGACCTGACCTACAGGCACTGCCCCAAGAGCATCTGGAAAAGCAGGGAGATGACCACTAATAGAGGTCAGTCTGTGGCCTGGGTCAAAGGTCAGTGTGTGTCCAGAAGGAAAAGATCAGTCTGTGACCAGGGTCCGAGGTCAGCCAGTGGCCAGAGTGAGAGGGCCCGGGGCCCAGGGTGGAGCTGGGGTGGGTGTTGTGTGGCAGCCGGGGACCCACCTTGGTCAGCGCCTCGGCCACCTCGGCCTTCTCGGCCTGCAGCACGTCCCGCTGCAGCGTGGCACAGCCCAGCGCCTCCTTCACCTCCACCAGCTCCTTCGCCAGCCCTGAGCGCTTCTCCTCCAGCTGCTCGAGCTGTCTGTGGCTGTGGGACAGGGGGCGGGCGGGTGCCCCAGGTCACTTCCCTGTCCTGAGTCTCCCGCAGCCAGACAAGCCGGAGCAGGTGGGGGCCAGGCCCGAGGCAGGAGCCCTGGGGACAAGAGCTCACCCACAAGGGCAGCCAAGCCCACCGCCTTTTGGCTCTGTGACTCTGGGCCTCAGTTTCCACATCTGCAAAATGGGGTAACACCTGTCTCATGAAGTTACTATGAGAATACATGACCTATTGAACATGCAGTGCTTAAAACAGTGCCTGACATATCTCCCCAAGAGCCTTCAGACACAAGAATAATACCCACTACCACAATGTACTAAACATCACTGTTACTTATGGCTCAGAGAAGTAAATAGTGCAATGGTTAAGAGGTTAACTCTGAAGGCAGATTCTTGGGTGCAAATCCTGGCTCTTCTACTAGCTGTGTGACCTTGGTCAAGTTATATGACCTCGCTGTGCCTCAGTTTCACCATCCATAAAATAGGAGTAATAATAACTCCTACATCGTAGTTATCATGAGGGTTAAATAAGAGAATCTCAGTGCTTAAAATGGTGTCTGGCACTTAGTAATATTAGCATTAATATTATTACTGTAACTTTAAAAAATACTAATATTACTAGTGTTATTTTTCTTATCGTTGTTATCATCATCCACACTCTTCCTCCTACCAGTTCTCTGACCCCAGGTAAGTGACTATACCTCCCTGAACCTCGGTTTCCTGAAGCGGGGCTGGTTAGAAGACCCTACATCAGACGGGTGCTATAGGACTCCTCGAGAGGGCAGGAGGCCCAGGACACAGTAGGTGCTCCCGAGCCCCCACGGGCACTGTCAGGAGCCCCAAGGCCCACTCGAGGGGCCCTGGCAGGGAGGCCAGAAGCGACTCACCTGCGCTCGAGCTCCCTGCGCGTCCTCGCGCCGTCCTGCGCCGTGTCCTCCCGCTCCTCCTCCAGCAGGTCCCGCTGGCGCCGCAGCTCCTCCTGGGTCACCTGCAGCTTCTCCCGCTCCTGCCGTAGCTCCTCGGCCTGCTCCTGGGCCGCCTGCAGGCTGTGGGCCAGGCTGTCCTTCTCCCTGCAGGACGAGGGGAGGGGAGCTGAAGGGGATGCTGGGGCTGCTCCCACTGGAAGACGGCTGTGCTGCTGCCCTAGCCATGAGCCGCATCCTTCGTCCTCAAAGGCACCTGCCTCCAGGAAGCCTTCCCCGATCCTGCCCCTGGCCGACCCATTTAATCCACATCTCCCTGAAGCTGACTGTTCCCGGCAGAGGGAACCCAGCTTTCCCTCTCTCCCAATATGCCCACTTGGAGGCCCAGTGGAAGGATGGAGCCACCAGCATTACCTCCAACCAGCCACCAGGTTGAAGAGGCCAGGCTAGGCTCCCGGGACACACGGGTGATTTTGCTGCCAGCTCCGCTAGTCCCTATGACAGGAAATTCCCCGACAGCACCCGTGCCCCTCGATTCTGGGAGGCCCAACAGAGCTGGGTTTGTCTAGCTTCTTCCTGCTGCACAGGCCAACAGCACACGGTGGCCAGGGCAGGGGCGGGAGGAGAGCAACCAGGAACTCGGGAGATCTGCAGAGCATTGCCATTTCCTCCACCTCCAGCACTCACAAGCAACAGAGGGGAATGGGCCTGGAACGCCTCCTTCCCGGCCAGCAGGGGTTTCTAGTTCCGCCTGGGGGTTGATCACTGGCATATCCTCCCCTGCCCGCCTCTTCACTCCAAGGGGCAACCCATAAGTATACTAGATACCAAGGCTGGCAGTAGGTGGGAAAAAACATACAACATGATGTTAAGTAAAAATAGCAGAATGCAAAATGAGGTGTTCGCCGGGAACACGACTATATAAAGACCCTCTCCTTCCATGGCACGGGAAGCACTGGTTTTGCTATCAGATGGACCTGAATTCCAGTTCCTAGCCCCAGCCACATCGCTGTGTGAGCTTGGACAAGTCTCTCAACCTCGGGGCAGTAATGGTTCTGAACCGTGTGAGTTTGATGGGAAGACTGATGGAGGTAATTCACGTAAAGCACTTGGCAATGAGCCTGGCACCATTATGACTCAATAAAATATTTCCAAAAACACAAAATAAAAATTAAAAAAATTAAAAATGATTTCATACGTAGAAAAAAAGTTACATGTCTCTCCAGACATGTGTGTGTCCAAAAAAAACTAGACTATTCTAGACTACTGGGGGTGAGCACGGTGTAGTCTATACAGAAACAGATATATAATAATATACACCTGAAATTATACAATGTTATAAACCAATATGACCTCAATAAAATAATAAAAGAAAAAAAAGAAAAGGAATACAGAGAAATCCACCCAGATAAACAAACAAACAAAAAAAATAGAACTCTTTGAAGTGAGAAAAATGTTCTGCAGCCATACATGGCTAGTGCAACTGAATTTTTAGTTTTTAAAATGTTAATTAATTTAAATTTGACGGCCACACATGGCTAGTTGCAACCACATTAGTTCCAATGCACACGCTTGCAGGCTCGGGCCCGCGTTAGGCCCAGATTTATTCCGCAGAGCCCCCACCTCCGACCTCCCAGGCACCTGCTCAGGAGGTCGATGGCACCCCGCAGACGCTGGGCCTCGCGCTGGGCATCCTCCTGGGCCTGGGTGGCCTCGTCGGTCTTGTCCCGCAGACGCTGCAGCTGGTCCTCTAGGGCACGGCGCTCACCCTCGCTGTCACTAAGCTGCTTCCGCAGGGTGCCCAGCAGGTCCTGGCTGGCCTCATAGCGCCCACGCATGTCCTGTGGCACAGGAATCAATGAGTCTGGGGAGCACTAGGAGGCTCCCAGAGCCCCCCCCACTCTCTGCTGGTTCCAGGGATGTACACCAGCCTACTCTGCAGCCCAGGCCTGGGGCCAGGAGAGGGGCAAGAGAGTGGGGCTAACCGCCCAGACCAGGTTTCACCCCCTTCACTGTGCCCCTCACCACCCTTCTGGGCCCTCGGCCAGGGCTCTGAGCCTCCATCTCCCTGGGGTCCCTGGCAGCTGGGACCTAAGCCCCCAGGATGCCAGACAAACCACCAAGCCCGCTCCTTCCTCGCCCGGGTTCTGACTACCCCAGGGAGCCCGCCTCCCCTTTGCATCCTGGTTCTGACTCTACCCCAGGCTCCTCTCATCCCAGGCTGATTCCTCCTCCCAGGCCTTTTCCCAGGGTCATGGCTCCATCTGTCCCGGAAATTCATCTTTCTATACCAGGACTCGAGCTCCGTCCCAGGCTCTGCC